TTTATAGAATATATAAGGTGGAAAGACTTGCATAATGAACACCAATATAAACATCACACAGCTTGAGAGTTAGAACATCACCTGTGGAACCACTGGAGACCCCAGACCCCTTTCTCCCAGCAGGGGTGACCAGTATCCTAAATTCTGGGTCCATTATTCCTCTTACTTTTCTTTGTAGTTGGCCCTGAATCTATGTATTCCAAACAATAGATTGCTTAATATTTCATAGTTTTGAATTTTATATAAGTGGTATCATGCAATATGTATACTCTTGTGCAGCTGAGTTTGTTCTCATTTTGTTCAGCAGATGCTTGTGAGGTTCCTGTGTGTTGATGTTGGCATGTGTACTTTCTTTTCATGGCCGTATGCTATTGCCGTGCAGGACTATGTCAAAAGTTATTCAACCATTTTCCTGTTAATGAACATTTGCTTGGCTGACCTGTTTCCAGTATATTTTTCTATTACAGTAATGCTGCCATGGACATTCTTTTCACTCTCTTGCTGCAAGGGCCAAGTGCCTTTTGTGGTATATATCCAAGAGTATAACTTCAGGGTCACAGGGAACGCTTATCTTCCAACGTAATGGATGATGGCGAATTTTTTTCCGATGTGGCTGTATCAGGGTACACTCCCCCCAGTAATAAGACTTTGCTTGCTTCACTTTTTCCACCAACACTTGGTATTATCAGACTTTTAAATTTTGGGGTGCAAAATTGTTTCTCATTGTTGTCTGAATTTTAATTTTCCTGATTACCAGTGAGGTTGAGTGAAGTTTTGTATGTTTATTGGCGGCTTGCGTTTCCTCTTCTGTAAAATGATTATTCATGATTTCTTTTGACCATTTTTGTCAAATTGTTTGTCTTTTCCTCAGTGATTTGCAGAAGTTCTCTTCTGAAAATCTGTTGTTGATTATGTGTTGCAAATATTTTCTCCCAGTTTGTGGCTTGTCTTTTTATTTTCTTTATAGTGTATTTCGATGAACCCACGTTCTTAATTTCCACTTAGTCAAAGTTAACAATCTTTTCTTTATGAGCTTTATTTTTTATATTGTGTTTGCAGATAAAAGTATTTCATCTCCTGAGGTCATAAAGATAGTCCTCCCCAGTTTCTTCTAAAGCTTTAAATTTTACTCTCCACAGATATTAAGCTGATTTTATATATGCTGTGAAGTAGATTAAAATTTAGTTTTTCTTTATGGTTTACCAGTTGTCCCAGCAAGATTTGTTGAACTGTCTAGTTTCTCTCTGTTGATCTGCAACACCAGTTGTATTCTATGTGAAGCGGTGTCCGTCCACATGCAGTTCTGTCTCTGGGTTCTGTAGTCTATTTCACTGGATACTTTGTCTATCTCAGCCCTGCTGATGGACTAGAAGAACTCAGTGAAGCTCTTGAGTCAATATACTATGAGAAGGAGCCCCAAATAATTCATTTGGTTCACTGAGACTTTTCTTTACAGGGGTGGTATAGTGAAAAGAATATGGGGCTTGAAGAAAAGAGTTAAAATTCCAGCCCTGATAGTTATTTGTATGACTTTGGGTACATTCTCATTTTTTTCTGAGCCTCAGTCTCCTTGTCTGTTAAATGGGAATACTTATTTCAACCGTAGAAGTTTCATTGAGGATTGGATTAAACTGTGTATTTTAAAGGATGTGAAAGTGCCTGGCGTCAGGATGGTCCCAGAGGATGTGCTTTGGGAGCACTCCCAAACTAAGGCCCTATGGATATTTTCTAATAGCTCCAGCCCAAAGTGAGTCAAATCTCGGAAGTACGCTACATGAAAATAAGACGTAGGCTCCCAAATGAATCATCAGTTTTAGTTCACGAAGCGCTCTTCCTCAAACCTCCTGATTTAGTTCCAAACTCATTTTAGAGGGCAAGGGGCTGTGAAGTTTCTCTGCTAAAAATGATTGAGGGTAACTGGCAGAAGGAGACTTGCTATGTGTTACTGAGCTGAGAATGGCAGAGGAGGAAAAATGTCATGCTGGGATAGTCATCATCAAATGTTTAAAGTCTAGGCTCTGTAGTCTAACTTAAAGACTTTCTTACTATTTACTGGCAACATAATAACAATAATATATCATTTGGCCATTTTAGAAGATTGGTCTGTTTTATTCTTGTAACACCACGAGGCGCTCTGAGGTTGGGTGTTGACTCTGGGAGTCTGAGACTTGCTCAAGTTCACAGAGCAAGTGAGGTTCCCAGGACTCAGACTCGGGTTGGCCAACTGGAACCCTTATTGCTACACAATGGTGACTGCCTGTATGTGCTGAACCAGTTTCAAACACGTTGTCCCATCCTCCTCATAGATACAATTGTAGATGAGATTGCACAGTTCAATTTGGGGTTCAGAAAGCATTGTTACTAACTGAGCCCAGATTTCTAGCAGAACTGGGGGTGGGCATTCTTCCCGGCAACTGACAAACTGTCTCCACTCTCAAAAATGAGAGAAGCTTTTAAAGTTTGTTTGGTTCTTTTTTTTTTTACACAGAAATGTTTTCTAACGGATTCCCCCTCATGCATTTACTGTAAAGTTCTAGCGAGGGCCAAGGTCCTCCAGGGGTGTATTGATTGGGGGACAATGGTGAGATTGGTTAGACACCTGTTCACATGACAACATGGCACCAGGAGACCCTGGCCAGGCTTTAGTAACCTCAAGGATGTGTCTGGGCACTGCATGCCCGGCAGCCAATGGTGGACGTGCTCGAGAGGCTGCTGTAGCTGTCTGTGTTGGTGGCCTTCACCTCTGGAGTGCTCCTGGACTGGCAGGCACACTGGCTGCGGTGGCGCTACCTGGACTGGAGAAGGAAGAGGCTGCAGGACAAGCTGGTGGCGATGCAGAAGAAGCTGGACCTGGCCTGTGACTCTGTGTGGCCACTTCGCCTCGGTTGTGGGGCTCCTGCCCAAGCAAGCCTGCCCTCATACTTTCTGCCCACAGTACTGGGCTCTTCCCAGAATCACTTGTTGAAGATGGATATAGAGAACTGGGCAGAGAAAAAAAAGGATGTAGCCTAGGTCTCCCGGCCCTTGAGTCCTACCCTGGCAGCACCTTGAGAGTAGCATTCTGGGAGCGAAGAGAGTTTAGCAGTTGCCTAAGAGAATCCCAAGTTTCTGAGGCTCTCCTTAGTGGCTGTTAGTGAATCTTTAAGTAACTTTAAGTAATTTCTGATGCTTTATAATTCTCCTTCTTGAGGAAAAGTATTCTCCACTGAAATAATTCCAAGTCCCTTTCCAGGCCTTCTGGAGGAATTTTCCAGCCCTTCTAAGTAACAGGACTTGACTTTACCTACATTCATTAACACCAAGGTTTCTCAGTTTCTGTAGCTACTTTCCCCACCATGCTTGAGCATCTGTAAAGGTTTGTGTTTAACCCTCCACAGGAACCTTCTCAGTCTACCCACTCCCATGGAATTGCCTCCATTTCCTATGGGTGTCCAAGAAGACTCTTCATTCTTTGGTCACATTCTGCCATATTTGGGCACTGTCATGATTCATGTATATCTTGTGCCATCTACCCTGTCTCTGGCCACATAAAACTCCTGCCCTGAGGAGCCTACTGGTTCTTTGACACAGTGGTACTCATTAAGCTCAGAGGAATCAATGGGTGGGCTGTTGTTTCTCAGGGTACAGGAGAAGACTGGAGCTGGGCTCCTTTGGACCAGTGCAAACTTAGGCTGGCTACCTTGATGCTTTCAGACAAATTTCCTATTCATTTCTCATTGACCCCTTTTCTGCAATTGTGTGCTCAATCTTCTCAGCTCTCCTTAGCCTCTAACACTACTCAGCAACCCACTTCTGTTGCTTCCCTTTTAGAACATGGCCTTGATTCATGCCTTACTGAACACACTGGTACACAGAGCAATAGGCTGCAGTCCTAGGGTCAGAAAAAGGGCTTAGAAGTCAGAAAATCTTGGACCTTGGGAAAGTCACTTACCTTTTATGAGCCTCCCTTGTCTTACATGTAAACCAGAAATAGTAATACGTCCCTCTCAGGATTGGTGTACAATTCAATGAGATAATAAACATGGATAAGTTTTGCACCCCATAAAGCACAAAGTGAGGGTCACTACCAGACCCCCCTTCTCTGCACCTTCAGACCTTCCAATATTTCTGTCTCTACCAGCAAATTGTTCTGTTTACCTTTCATCTGGCCTGCTCCCTTCATCTTATCCTGGTTCCAGCAGATTCAATCTTCCCCTCTTCATCCTCTCTACTGAAAAACACCCCTCTCCCCACCTCCACGGCAAGTAAACAATGTTTCACGTGACCCTGTTGCCTGCCCCTATTCCCACAAGCCACTGTCCTCCTCCCTTTCCTTTTGTAACATGAAGTCACACTGCTCATTGCCTGCTCTTTCCATGACTCCTGCATTTTTTTTCCCAACTGCTCTCCCCAAGCCAGCAGATTTGTCCATCTTTTCTGTTCTTATCATCCTTAACCCCTCTTCAAAATCTCACATTGCAAGCCATCTTCCTGTGTCTTTAAACTCCTTCTTCTCTAGGTTTTCATAGCACTTTAAACTTTTACTAGAATGTACCCTTCTTGTATCCTCCCTAACGCTTTATCACTTCATGGTTTCCTGTCTCCTTTTCTGACTCAGTATCACCCTTGTCCCCTTATAAGTGGCTTTTCCTTAAGCCTAGGTGTCTGTCTTCTGCTCCGCCTCAAACAGGGAATCATCATCTCATCTTACTCCATGCTGGTTTAACCACATGTGCAATATTGCCTTTACTTCTAGTATCATCTTCTATGAGAATTATTACAAACTCAGATTTATTCAGCAGGATGACCAAGACGGTGAGGGAGCTAGAAAGAGCTCACCTTATGGAACACTTGAGAGAAGGGATATTTAAACCTCAAAAGAGAAAATTCAGCGGAAACACTCCTTGCTGTCCTAAAACATTTGAAAGGAGGTAGAAAAGGTTTTTGTCTCCTGACTTGGTTTCCCACAGAAAACAGAGAAGCTGAAGACAGGTAGGTACGGAATCACTAGCAAGCAATACCTTCCAGTCCTGTGAAGATGTTAAGAGCACAGGCTCTGCAGTCAGATGATATGGGTTCAAATCCCAGTTCTACCACTTCTTCTCTGTATGATCCTGAGAAATCTATTTCATTTCTCTGTGCCTTCATTTCATTATCTGTATAATGAGAGTAGATAATGATAGTCATTGGAACAAAGATTTATTATTCGCTGTGCTAGTTATTGTATAGGGATATAGATACAATCATGCCCACTGATGACTCACAATCTATTGGGAGAGGTAGGTGCGCACATGGGTAATTAAAATACAAAGCAGATCACTGAGCTAGAGGAAAAAAACATGATGAGAAAGGGGAAGATCACACTGACTGAGGGGATCAGGAAGGATTGCTTGGAGGAGGCGGAAGCAGTGTGAGTTAAGACCTGGGGATGAGAGAAGGCAGGACTTGTTTGAGGACTGGCAAATACCCCATCAAATTGCACCTCACTTGGAAGCCTTTGCTACGAAGCCAGTACTTTCGTGCTTGTCCTTCTCAAAGCTTCAGCATATACCTCATGCTGCCAGTCAGATTTTCATACCAAGTTAGGAGTTTTTCAACCTACCCTGCAAATAAATCTTTGTTCCCATATTACCTGATCCCAAAAGCCAAACATTTGATCCACGGGGCAGATGGTAGAAGAGTAGGGGGAAAAGCCTGAGGAGAGGACAGTGGAGAGCATGCCTACTGACCAGGAAGTCAACCAGAGGGAGGAGCAGGTCCAGGGCAGGCAGGAGACGTCCTTGACCTGGGCAGCTGGAGCATAGGTACACAGGTGTCCCTCATGTTCATTGTCTAGGGCAGAGCCACGTAGACAGTGGGCTCCCCATGAATGAGTGAGTGAATGAATGAATAAATGAACATACGGCACCATGTAGGCTCTCGTGTATGTTATAGTATATTTTTACATATAATCTGGGTCAAGAAGAGGTGCAGACGTTAGAACAACCTGTGGTTCTCACTTGCTGTTTTCTGATGAAGTGCTTGGCAATCCTCACACATTGCTGGATGTTTAAGACAATAACACCTTTGCATTCTGATGCTGTAAAATATTGTTTGGATTAAAAGGGCAGGAACACATTGATGGATCTGAAATTGTTTTTCTTTTGGCTTGGAGATGACAGGGCAATCCATCAGACAACTTCCTTGGCTCCCTGTGACATTTCAAGCTCAAATGTTATAGCTTTCTTATTTTTTCTTTTCTCTTTTATTTCACCCCCTGGCTCTCTATTGAACTGTGCCTCTCGGAAATGCATCCTGTAGATGTGGCTTCTCTGACACTAGTCATACACAGGCACTCCGTTGAGGCTTGTCAGATGAGGGCTGGGAATACTCAGACTAGCTTAGCAGGTTGTGCTGAAGTTGAGGTGACTTCTTAATCTACCGGTGATGCTGTCCCCACCTGTGCCCTAGAGCATGCAGCAAGCAGTTCTTAGAAAACAGAGCAGGCCCTAGACAATGACAAAGGATTCAGATGCCTACATAATGTGATTTCAGAAGCTGGATTGTGTGCACAGAGAAAGCAAGTTGCAATGCTTGGCTTCTTTACCTGTTTCTGCCACTATGCATAATGTAAACTTGGAAAGGCTACTTAACTTCTCCAAGCCTCAGCTTCTCTCCTTTTGAGAGAACAAATAAGTATAAGAATAAAATGAGATAATGATCCGGATACATTGTGAAAATATAGAACATAAGTAGGTAACATACACTCTCTGTATTAGTTATCTACTGCTGTATAGATATCCCACAACTTCGTGAATTCAAATAACAAACGTCTGTTATCTCACATTTTCGTGGATCAAGAATCTGGGAGTGGCCTAACTGGGAAGTTCTGGCTCACAATCTGTAGAGCCATTGTCTAGGGCTGCACTCATCTGAAGGCTTGACTGGGGCTGGAGAATCTGCTTCCCAGATGGTTTGCTCATGTGGATGTTGGAAGGAGGCTGCAATTCCTCAGCACATGGGCTTCTCCAAAAGACTCCTTGGGTGTCCTCATGACGTGGCAGCTGGCTTCCCAGAGTGAGTGATCCAGGGCAGAAGCCACAATGTGCTTTGTGAGCTAGGCTCAGAAGTCACAAGCTGTGATTTCCTCAATATCCTAATGGTTATACAGGCCAGCCCCCGTCAGCCTGGGAGGGCACTGCACAAGGACATGAATTCCAGGAGATCATCTTGGAGGCTGACATCCACACCCTCTCTCAGAGATTATGGCTGACTGTCTCTAAGGTCTTCACATTATAACTTGGTCCAGATAGCTCTCCTTCAAACCCGCTATGCAACCGTTCTCCTCTCCCATCTAGCTTAGAATTCCTGCTACACTGTCAGCCCCTTGTTCCACACTAAAAATTCAGTTTCAGTCTTCAATAAAGTTCTGCAGAAATGGATGTTCATTGCACCTGAGGGAGTTCTCTGGAGCTGGGTTGCACTGGTTTCTCACCCACTCACAGGTGCAGCTCACTGCAGTTTCCGGAGTGCGGTTGCATCCTCATTTCATGTGACACGGAGCCCCTTCTTTGAGAGTCAGTAAGGAGGTGACCAGTGTGGACAGTGAGGGAGAGGAGAGTCAAGGTCTCCAGCTTTGGCGATCTGCCTTGCATTTGATATTTTCCAAAATGTGTTTGTTTCTGGGCTCTCTACTTGATTCTGTCAACTCTGAAGCAGACAGAGCTGGCGTTGTTTCTTCCATGTTGTGGATTGAACAACTGAGGCTTAGAGAGTCCTAATTGAGTCATTCGCTGAAATAGGGAACATGGGAGGAAAAGATGCTGGATGGTTAAAATGTGGAGTCCGGCTTTAAATGTCTTGAACTTGAGGTGTCTGCAGTGTGTTAAGTGAGGTTAATGTACAACCTTGACTAGAGCTTCCAGATGATCAACCGGGCATAGAACAAGATCTAATATCCTGATTATTCTGCTTTGTCTGCAAGTTTCTCTACTCCTTCCAGCTGTTCTACTATTCTCTGTCTTCTTGGTCCCAGATGTCCTGGGTTGGTTTCCTCAAAGCCATCCTCCTTAGCTTCATGGACCCCATTGGCCTGGTGGCGCATAGCCTCGAGGGCCCTGCAGGGTGACTGGGAGATGCCTTCTAGTGGGGAGGGTTCTGACTGAGGGTTCCACGAGCCCCTTGAAAAGAGAGGCAGAAAGAAGCTTCACCAACCTTCAGCCAAAGCAGTTTTCAAAACAGCTCATCCATCCATGTGGACCAGCATGTTCTAATATTTCTGTAAGGTCCTGGGGCCCAGGTCTGCCTTTACCGCTAAGTTAGCTGCGAAGTAGAAGAATTGCAAGTAAAGGCACCTTGGGACCAACTCCCACAGACCTGGTGTCAGCTGCTGCTCTTTGCTGGAGCACCCTAAGCTGTGAATCTTAGGGTACTGGAGCACCCTAAGCTGTCCCCACCCTGTCAACCCCGGCTTAGACCCCAGACCCCAGTGAACTCTGCTCCTGCCTTTAGAACTCTTCAGAGGATCCCCAGAAGGAGGGTTCCCCGAGGCAGGTCTCCCCACACGTCCAGTCCCACAGACCCTTCGAGCAGCTGCGTCTCCAACCTTATCTTCCCTCTGCCTCCACGGAAACCTGAGAAAGACGGAAAGGGGGAAGTGGCCTGGTTTCCCAACACAAATAACCCCGCAGAGCTTTCTCAGCAGTGACCCTTAGCCTGTTGTGTCAGCCTCAGGCTGAAGGAGGAAGGAAATAGACCTTCTATTGAGTATTTTTCTTCCCCTGTCAAGAAGATCAGAGGAGCTGAGACGAGGAAAGAAAAGGAGTCAAAAGCAGCTTGTTACCTCCTTTTTCAGGATTCGTGTTGCTCTTCCCCTCCCCTCTCGAGCTCTAAGTAAACAAACTCCCCAGCCGAGGAAGGCCCCAGGCCCCACTCCAGCCAGGCCATAAATAAGAGCCCTTCAGCCTTTCACTCTCGGGCAGCAGAGAGGGTACTTCTCAGTGGAACATTTGATAGCGGGGGAGGGTAGGGGCAGAGCGCTCGTGTTAATTGAATCCCAATTTCCTTCTCCCAGGATCGCTCTTATCTTTTTAATTATACAAGGCCTTTCATCTTCCTGAGGACTTGTCTCTGTCATTAATGCGTGATCCCGATTAGAGATAGCGGTCTGCTTGGAGTAATGGGAGCCTCGAGCGGAGGCCTTTGGAAACGCTTTTGCTTTTTTGAAACAGTCAGGTTTACCCAGGGCAAATCCAGGTGGGGCGGGAGATGCTCTGGGTTCCTCTCAGCTCTCAGGTAATCTTCCTCTGGCTGTCAGTGTTTGAGATGGTCGACTCTGAGGTTAGGGACAAGGGCCTCTTGAGGCCCGTCTCTGCTGTTGTGGCCCAGCAGGGAAGGGACAAAGGAGCCACTTGCAAGGCAAGCAGTTCAGAGGGAAATCTGTCCAACTGTATTCACAGGATGCAGGGCACCAAGGTCAGAGACCCAAAGAGTTGGGAATATTCTGTATTTCCTAAATGTCTGGGTAGCCACTAAGTGCTTGTGACTGGAAATGGGTTCTCACGGGCTTTTCCTTCACATCACAGAGATGCATTATCTCCAGGTGACAATGGCTCGGGACCCTCCAGGGTTACATTTCTCTTCCACCCCTGCGCTCCCAGCTGCCCTGTCAAATGGCTAATGAGTTGTAAACCAATACTTAGTGGTGCAAAGAACACGTCCTATTTGAAGGGATTTGCCTCGTAGTCGGTGTTCAATCAGGGTTGGCTAAACAACTTTTTACACGCAGGTTCTGAGAGCCATTCCACTTAAAACATGAATTCCCAAGTATTTATGGAGTGATTATAGCTCCTCATTTATAGCTTTAAATTCTATTGGAATTTATTTTTCCGGGCCGCATTGTGGCCTTTGGGGTCCCTTCACCAAGGCAGTCTGATATGTCACATGTGCCATGCTGGCCCCTGGATGTGCAGAAAGATGGGTGAGGCTGAGTGCCTGCAAGGAGCTTAGTGCTCGGCTTGGAAACGTTCTGTTAGTTTAAAAAATATGGTATAAGTATATGTAAGTAAATATGTATATATATGGTAATATATATATTGTATTATATATTATACAACTATATGTATATACACACTTAATATGTATGTATAACATACATACAACTGTATGTATAACAGTA